GCCAGTCACAAACCCATCCTCATGTATGATGTCTGCAATGACTGAAGTTGTGTTAGAGGATGAAGGTGAAATGACTCACGATTGTGTTACGCTCACATACGCAGCTACGAGTGAAATAACAGAAACTCCCATAGAGAATGCAGAATTTGAGTTGTTTGTTGATGGTTCAGCTCAAGTCATTGAGGGTAACAGACAAGCAGGTTATGCAGTAACTTCCACCACTGAAGTCGTAGCTTCAGGCCGTCTTCCAGATAATTTTTCAGCTCAAGCTGCAGAACTAGTAGGCTTAACTAGAGCATGCATGCTAGCTTCAGGATTAGTTCCAAATATCTACACTGATTCTAGGTATGTTTTGGGGTGGTTCATGATTTCAGTGTCATTTGGCAAAGTAGACAGTTTCTAACTTCTGCTGGATCCCCCATTAAGCATGCTGGATTAGTGAAAGATTTAATGTTTTCCATGAAACTTCCAAAGAAATTAGCGGTGATCAAAGTGAAAGCACATCTCACAACTAATACTATGGAAGCTAAAGGTAATGCTCTTGCTGATGTAGCTGCTAAACAGGCTTGTTCCTATGCAACTGTACAAGTGTGTTCAGGTAGTACGTTCTCAAATCAATGGTGGAATCCAAAATTCTGAAATGTAGCCACCGAAACAGTCAAGAGATGTGTTACATGTCAGAAAAATAATGATGTGCCAGCAGCAGCTACAGCAGCAGCACATACCCCAGCTCCACCAGGACCATTTCATCACCTGCAAGTTGATTACATATTGTTGACTCCTTGTAAGGGAAAAACTGATGTTTTGGTAGTAATAGACAAGTTCTCGAGATGGATAGAAGCTTATCCAACAGGGCGTGCTACAGCTGCACATACTGCTAAATGTCTTGTCACTGATTTCATTCCCAGATGGGGATTACCAGATTGCATTGACTCAGACACACTTCACACTTCACAGGACAGGTAGTCAAGGAAGTGTCTAAAATGTTGAAGATTAAGTGGAATCTTCACTGCCCATACAGGCCACAAGCATCAGGACAGTTTGAAAATGCATCAGGAAGGAGTACCGTGGGTCGAAGCACTGACAGCGGTACTGTGTAGTATGAGAGCATCACCTAACAGATCAGTAGGACTGAGCCCTCATGAGATTATTACTGGACGCCCAATGCAGATGCCAGGTGTGATTGATCTTAGAAATGCTGATGTACACATTGCCTCAGATGCCCTGATAGTACATTGTATTTAGCATTTAAGGTAAATTACATCAGACAAATGATTATCTTAAAATGTAGTAAGAGGTTCCTGTCTGTTCCGGTTTCTCTTATTGTCAGTCAAATTAACCAAATTACTGAGAAAGTCACCTTTTGTATGTAATGGCTCTTGGTGCCTCTGCCCCAGTCTTTGAGTAGTTATGCTGATTGGATTAGCACCTATGCATTTGAATGACACTGTTATGCTGATGAGATCAGGGCTGGAGAAATTCCGGTAACGGGCTGATTCCTGTATTGCATTTGCATGCTTTGTTTAGATTGTCGCCACCTCTACTGAATGAATCCCGCCCCCTTAAAATGTATATAAACTCTACTGTGCTGAGCTATAGTCAGACTTGGATGACTGCAGCGACGCACAGCGAATCCTCAATAAAGAGTGACTTCTGTATGAAAGATATCCCAACGTCTCCTGGTTTCTGCTTCGACGAGGAAAAAGTTTCCTACAAACTGTTCTGGAACAGTGTTGTAAATATCACTTAACCACTGATTTCTAGTCGTGTCCTCTTTTGGAAGACCAAACAAATTGGCGAAGGAGCGTCCGGAGGGCCTGCGACAACCACATGTGACGACCCCGGGCTGGACTCCGCGTATATTGTCCTCTTTTGGAAGACCAAACAAATTGGCGAAGGAGCGTCCGGAGGGCCTGCGACAACCACATGTGACGACCCCGGGCTGGACTCCGCGTATATTGTCCTCTTTTGGAAGACCAAACAAATTGGCGAAGGAGCGTCCGGAGGGCCTGCGACAACCACATGTGACGACCCCGGGCTGGACTCCGCGTATATTGTCCTCTTTTGGAAGGCCAAACAAAGTAGTTTCGCTTTCACAACGAATCACACAGTGCCTTCACGACATGGCGGCGGCGGCAACAACAATACTACAGCGAGAATAAAAGTTATGCCTTTTTTCTTTGCGTGAACATTTGGGCGGCGTTATGCTCGTGAACATTATGCTCGGCGTTATGATTCAAACACAAGTTTTGAGCAATGTAGAGGAGCGCTTGTTGTTTGTCATTTCTCCGATCACAAATCTTCCCACATCGTGACTTAGACATGTGGGGGCGTGTTAGAACGAGCTGTTTTAGGTAGGCGTGGTTGACTCTTAACTTTTATAAAGAATATCTCTTTGGATTTGAGACTTTAGTCTTTGCAACTTTACAGATCTTCTTTATGCACCAAGAGCTTGTAACACTTCAAAGAGAAAGGAAAAATTGAAATCGCATCATATGACCCCTTATAACACCATATGTTGACAAAAGCCACTAAGGGAATTCCCCTTTTGCTTGATTATTTTGAATCATCCCCTTACCTCCAGGCCAAAATGAGGGTACAGTCAGCCATGATGCATATTCGAGCAAGCTCTTTCAGTGCATGATGAGGGTCTTTCTGATAAATGAGGAAGAGAGAAATGGGAAATGAACAAACATAAAAATTCAAAAGCTGGCATTAAGAGGCTATATTTTACTGACCATCATGATCTATTTAGCATTTAATTCAGAAAGATTTAAAAAACACTACACATTTGAGAAAGGGCAAAGAAACAGGAAAAACAAAGAAATTTAAGTGAATTAGTGAGTGAGACAGACAGACTCACCACGTCAACCTGGAGGAGTAATATTCTGAGGGTGAAACTCTGTCCCAGCTGTTTCAGACGCTCATGGACGTAGTTTGGGTTCAAATTATGGTAACGCACACTGCAGTCACGAAGATAAAGAGAAACTAAAACATCACACACTGTACTGATATATGGTTGATGAATATAAGCACTATAGAAAATTATTTTCAATTTTCCATTTACAATTTAGTAAAATTAAACTATTGGTTAAGGGACTAAAAACATTTGTAATTATTCATATTCACATGATTTACTCATCCACAAGTTGTTCCAAACCTGTATGAATGTTGCTAACCAAACTGTTGATGGTAGCCATTGACTTCCATAGTATAGAAAAAAAAATCAATGGAAGTCAATGGCTACCATTACCCACTTAGTTACCAACATTCTTCAAAATACCTTCTTTTGTGCTCAACAGAAGAAAGAAATTCATACAGGTTTGGAACAAGTGGAGGGTGAGTGAATGTTTTGGTGAACTATCCCTTTAAATACATGAACGCCTCATCCTGCCATACACATAAAATTCCATTATACACAGAAATAAGCAATTCCAAATATAAAATGCTTTTGTTAATTTACATTTCTCAATTGTTTATACATTGTCTATGCTGTATTGTCATACCAATCATGAGTTTCAGCCACAACACACATGTCTGTTACCTTGAATTCTCACTTATTTTCTTTGAAAAGACAGGATGATGCGGTTTCACACCTGACCAGCTCAGAGTATTCCATTCTCACATAACACTTACAAAATGTGTTTTAAGTGCACATACAGATGCTTACACCCAGGTTTCTATATTTTAACACTAAACACTCAATATTTCATTGCATTAAATATTTATAAAGTACTATTTCATTATTTCATACTACTTCATAACCTTTAATATACAAATTTGGGACAGGTTTTGACATCATACAAATATCGACTTATTACTTTTTTTCTTCCATGATTCAGTACATTAAAAGCCAACAATAAGTTGATCTGGAATTTGCCCCAAATGTGCAAAACAGCACTGGTTTCATATTCATGATTGATGAAGCTTCTAGGTTTTCATTGTGTGCATTTAGATTCCTATTTCGAATCGGCGTTTTGACTTGATTTTTTAAAAAGGGCATACAAAACGAAACACTGACAACTGTAATATCAGATAAAAAATTATTACAAATATTAGAACTGCAATATTTTCAAACCGTTGTAATATATCTTCTCTCCTGTAACATGCATATTCCCAAAAACCAACCTGAGAAAAAGAGCACAGGTTGTCCGTCCCAAAACATAGTCTGGCACAACTTCTCCAAACTCCCAAGGAACATTTCTCACAAACTTTAGGATGGGGTTGCCTCTCTGTAGACAGATGAATACATAATATTATATAATCATGTTCTATATTTGCATGTTATATAGTGGGAAATCAACTAAAAGGTGCAGTCAGTATGTTTTGATTTGTGTTTGGATGTTTTATTAACACATATTTAAATGAATGCATGAAATCCATTTTTTATATTCTGCTACTTCACACCAGAGAATTTCTCAAAAGTACAGTTCATTTCTTTGTGTAAAACAGGGAAAAAATACAAAGAATAGCTTTAAAGCGGAAAAATTAACATACAATATACAGACCTGTCGAGGACTGACAACAATACTGTTTCCAGATCCTAAGAGATGAGGAGGAATGATACAACTCTCCGAACTCTGACCTTCCTCTTTCGTTTGATCTTCTGTTAGTACTTTTGCTGGTCCCTGCTGCTCAGTCTCAGGCTTTCCAGAGTCTGTGGAGGACGTACTAACTGATCCACTGTCAGCTGTGTTTGCACTGCTTTGCCCTGCAGCGTCGTTCCTACTTTGTTTCCCTGGTCCATGGGCTGCTCCCTGAAGTGCCCTGTTTTTGCTCTGAACAACAAACTCTGCATAGGACAGTGGTTGGCCAGGAGCTGGAGGAGCACTCTGAGCAGATGGGGTCTCTACTTGACCATCTTTGGCCTTAAACAAAGATGTCACCTGTGTGAACAAAAGAAACTGGGTTACTTGAGCCATTTAAAAAACACTGCTATTTGAGTGTTTTAATGGAATCTTAAAGGGGCCATATGCACTTTTGTACCTTCCCATTGTTAAGTCCACTTATGATGTTTTAACTTATTATTTTTGTTATGTGAAGGTCACATTAAAACAGTCTCGGTCTCTGACACTTTTTACTATGTCTTTACTGAACATTATATTTTTATTGTTTTAACCTTGTCCAGGGCTCACATTCAAATGTGCACCAAGAAAATCCATTATAAAATATCATGTTTAAAAAAAGTGTGTAAAACTATGATGATACAAACAATGAAGAAAATAAGTTAAATATTTATTTTGTGAAAATAATGTTAATTTTTTTTTTTTTTTATTAATGTCCCACTGTTTTGGACTAACGGGTTTAAATTAACATGAGGGTTTGTAAACGAAATAATTGTCAGTTTTGGATTAATTTAACGTTTAAACCTAGAGAACTTGCAGCACGACATGGATAAAATATTAATCTAGCATGTTGTGAATAGGTTTTTTTTTTTTTTTTTTTCCAAGTTTTGCACATATAGTTTTAGTGTAGTTCATGTCTTGGGCTGTTCCTGTTGTGGTGGGCAACGTGACGCATCAATGCATTTTGAGTCATCAACACCTTGTTACCAGCAAACTGGAAAACAAATGTGTTAAAGTTGCAAATGAAGTTGGCAGATTGCGCTTGTGATGTTACTGATTTAGTCTGTAAGGGTGACAAACCTCACTTTACAAAATAGACTTTATTAAGATTTTTACTAGAGCTGATTGACGCTGTTTGGTTATTTACAGTACATCCATTACAGGTTCGATCCCACAGATTAATATTATGGTGATAGTTTATGTATGCAGCTTTTTGGGGTTCGATCCTCCATTCTCACAGTTACTAGCCACTCAACAACACACCATAGCGACACAATCTTAATAAAGAAACAAAACCCACCGGAATTCTTTCCTTTGTTAACGCGGAGTCGTCCAAATTGATATTGAATCTCCTTTTTTCCATTTATTAATTAATCAGTACATGCACAAACCAGAGAAACCTATGAATCCTTCTTCTTTTTCTTCTTGTTTTATGGCGAATAACTCCTTAGGAGCATTATCGCCACCTACTGTACTGGAGATCAAGTAAACTTTCATAGGTGATGAGACTGAAAATACTCCCATCCACACATATTATAATCTAGATCCTAAACCTGAGTCATAGATATATTTAATTAGTGCTCTGTATACCTGTCTATCCATTAAACCTTTTCCTAAAATATCTTCATGTGTCAATCTTTCCACCCCAAAGTGACTAAATATGTCACGATATTTACTACACCTAAAAAGTACATGATATGAATTTTCAGATACACCACATGCATACATTTTCATGTAAACCTATAAGTGCCAGTGTTGATTTCAACCCTGTATGTCCCAGTCTTAATCTAGACAGCCATACCTCTTCTTTCCTATTTCTTCCCTGACAATTTATCTTCCCCACTGTCTGCGTAATATTATAACACCATCTCCCTGTGCTGCTATTATCCCATCTAATTGGTAATTTATTCATGAACTTTTTCTCTGAAATCAACTTTGCCTAATTTTTTCCCATTGCTACTTTAACATCTACCTCCATCTTGACAAGTGCTTTTTTTGTTAGTTTATCAGCAACTTCATTACCAGATACCCCAACATGTGCTGGCACCCAACAAAAATATACCATTATTCCAGCCTCTTTCAATCTGTATAAAGATAGATACACTTCCATTAATAAATCTTCTCTGTCTGATCTCGCATGTGCTATACTAATTAAAGCTGAAGATGAATCCGAACATATTACCACTTTATTTGGTCTGACTTGTTCAACCCACTGTAGTCCTATTATTATAGCTGTTAACTCTGCAGTGTATACTGATAAATCATCTGGCAATTTCAAACTAATTCGTACTTTACATTTTGGAATATATACACCTATTCCAACCTTTTGATTAACAGGTTCCTTAGATCCATCCGTAAATATTTGTAATGTTGAATAAAATGTATTATTTAGAATAGCATTAACCTCCTTTCCAATGTATTCACCTTTGGGCTTGTCTAGTAAGCTCAAGTCTACAAGTGGTTCAGGGACTCTCCATAGTGGGGCATCAGTGAGCGGTACATTAGGATGTGGTACATCTTATTATCCATGCCATAATCCTTGGCCCATACTCTACTCTTCCATCCAAAACTACATCCTCCATCATACGAATATTCCCAGCACTCCTCCAGTACTTTACGAGTGAGGTGAGTACTTACTGATTGTTGAAGATTCACCCAATACGTCATAGTCAATTTTATCCTTCTAAGTTCAAGAGGCATCTCGCCCATTTCTACCCCTATTGCATCTACAGGTGATGTTTTAATTGCTCCACAACATTTTGATCAAAAACATCATTAATCATTCAATTAAACAATATTGGGCTAATTGCACTACCCTGTGGAGTTCCATTTAGAATGTTATAAGGATCTGATATTTATTCTACAATTTTAACCTGAAAGGTACGTTCAAATAGAAAGTCTAAAACCCAATTATAAAATGTTCCACCTATACCTAATTTATTCAGTTTAATTAGCAAACCTTCCCTCCACAGTGTCATAAGCCTTTTCTATATCAAAAAATACTGCAAACATGTATTCTTTCATTATATAGGCTTTTTTAACTTCATTTTCAAATAGTATCAAAGCATTTACTGTAGATCTACTTTTCCTAAATCCACTTTGAAAAGTTGATAACATTTCCCTTTTCTCCAAAATGTAATTCAATCGCCTCACAATCATTTTTTCCATGACTTTACATAGCGTAGAGGTAAGAGCGATGGGTCTATAACTACTAGGTTTTGTTATGTCTTTCCCAGGCTTAGCTAGAGGAAGCACAATTGCAGTCTTCCATTGCTTAGGAAGGATACCCTCATTCCATTTATAATTATACAATTCCAATAATGCTTTAGCTGGTAGATTCTTTAATATTTTATAACTTATCATATCTTTACCTGGTGTTGTATTCTTTGAATTATTAATAGCTGATTTTAATTCAAAATAATTAAACTCATCATCCAAAATACTATTAAAAGAATATTTTCTTGCAAGCATTTCCATATATACTCATAATTTGCTGTCGTCTTGTTAAGAATGTATCATCTAAGTTATCAATGCTATGAGCTTTAGCAAATGTTTGAGCCAACATTGTGACCTTATCTTTATTTGTAATGGCTATTGTCCCACCTTCCTCCATTACAGGTATCTTTCTGAAGCTATCAATTCCATTCATCTTCTTTATCATACGTAATATTTTCTTGCAAGCATTTCCATATATACTCATAATTTGCTGTGTTCTTGTTAAGAATGTATCATCTAAGTTTTCAATGCTATGAGCTTTAGCAAATGTTTGAGCCAACATTGTGACCTTATCTTTATTTGTAATGGCTATTGTCCCACCTTCCTCCTGCTGTCAATTCCATTCATCTTCTTTATCATACGCCAGACTGCATTTATTTCGGTTTCCCTCCCTATTGTATTACAGAAGCTTTGCCATGCTGTCTTTTTTGTATTTTTAATAACCATTTTTAACACAAGCTCTTTTCTTTTGATAATCTATGACTGCTATGACTGAGTGTTCTTTTTTAAATTTAAATGATTTATTCCTTTCTCTAATTGCTTTCGAGCATTCCTCTGACCACCCAGGTACATTCTTTCTTTTCATGTACCACTTACTAGCGGGATAGATTGTGATACTGCAAAATGAATGCCATTCACTACTTTACCATACCTATCATCAACACTACCCTTTACTGACAGATTTTCAAATTGTTCTTGACATAACATTTGAAACTTTTCCTTTGCTGCCTTTTTATACATCTTAAACCATAATTACAATTTTGTATTTGAATCTTATTTTGAATTTCACAGATCACTGGAAAATGATCACTTCCAATATTATCTTTAGCTACAGACCATATGCATTTACCAGCTAATGATGCTGAAACTATTGTGATATCTAAACATGACATTGCACCTCTTATTATGTCTATTCTTGTTGGGTTGCCATCATTTAGACACACTAAAGACTATGAATACATCTGCCCGCCATCGCAGCTAGTCAGACATATGTGTCAAACACAGCAACATCGATCGACAATGAGACGCCTACTCATACTGACCGACAGATGGCGACATTGCAATAGATTTTAATACTTTTCACAGTAGGGGTCCCTTTTTCAAATAGCGTGAAAATGTATCGATTTTTTTCCTTACTCAGAGCATATTCTTAAACATTTTTATTGAATTACCGTAACTTTTCAACATCTACCATAGTAATACGATGGTAATTTACTGTTCATTCTGAAGGAAGTTGGCACACTAAAAAGCTATTAAACATAAAATAATTTAAAGTAATAATAACTAAACTAAAATATAGTTTAGTTTAGTTCATTTAAAAAATAATAATAATAAAAATATGGGGGAAACCAGACTTTTGATTCAAAATCGTACAGTTTCTAAGATATATACATCTTTCCCATGTGACAACAATCCCCAAAGTACCCTACTATTACCATGATGTAATCATTCTACCATGGTATTTCCAAAGCACTTTTTTGTAAGGCAAAGAAGCTGGATAACGTGTAAAACCTTTCATTATAATTGTTGACTATATAAATAGCTTTTTTGTTATTGTATGTCTTTTTTTTTAATAACGTCAAAATTGTTCTCATTCATGTAATTCATGGTTTCATCCTCTCCTCTTGGCCCTCAGAACATCATGTTTGTGTTAAATGAGAGGTTATCCAATTAAGGAACCCAAAGTCTGACAGACATCTGCGTATTGCCCATTTAACCCTTTTTGTGTGTGTATATGGATGGCGTTTCGGGACGTCCTGCCACTGTGCCATAGCATCGTGGGTCCCACAGACAGATGGTGCCAGTTTTATTCTGAGATCATGTTCATGCCCTCCAAGAGATGCTATGCATTTACACAACACACACAAACCTTTGGCATCATACCAATGTCAGTCACTGTTCAGGTCAAAACAGACAATATTATAAGCTAAAAGATATGGATGCACAGACTCACACACACACACACACACACACA